CACTGTTCTAGCATCTGATGAAACTGCAAATTGATCAAAACAAATGATAAAAAAAGTCTTAAATTTCTCTCTCAATGTAACGGAGTACCATGAACAGCAAATACCGAACTTGGAAAATTCGCCATAAATTTTGCTCAAAATGTCACATGGTCGGAATCTTCAAAATAAATGGCGCTATCAAGTCGCTTCTAGGCAGAATTTCTTCTCACAGCATCAACACAAAATCAAGCAGACAAGTGTTGAGAATATCGAGAAATATAAATAAAGGAATTAGTTAATTCCCCAAACTAACACCATAATAATTGAACCGCGGCCAGTAAGGAAAATTTCTTCGTTTCTAAAGAAATTACATTCGTGCGTCACTGGGGGTACAACAAGATGCTTTTGTTTCATCAACTGAGTTGGTAAATAAATGTAGATTAGCCACCGTAAAGAGTTTCTAAAGCTGACTCTTCGAGTGTTAACGCTCGGAAACGTCAGCTTCAAAAACTCTTTTCGTTGGCCAATTTACACCATCAACCAAATTAATTTAATTAATATAACACTGCTTATGGTTGTTTTTCCTGTTAGGAACTGAAATAAAGTTAAAACATCTCCTTTTCTTTTTTTTACCCCACTGATCCCCGAGTGAGTTGCAGCAGGAAAGATACTTTTGTGCAATGCCCCTCCCTAAAGACGAAAAAAATTTTTAAAATTTAGAAAAGAAGAAAAAAAAAGTTTAAGTCTGCTGTTCTAAAAATCTGTCCGGTCCGTATTGTATATTACAAGGATAGAATGTAGCAGGCAAAATCCAAGTAATCAAATACGTTGAATAGTGTATAGTGTTAAACGAACTCGACAAGAATTTCTGACTACGATGCTGACAGATACAAAATCAGTTAAAATAAATCGCGTGCTGTAAGCCGTATTATGTCAACCGTATGCCAGTTCGAACTGAAATACAAAAACCAAAATAGAAGCTAACGTAAATAACATATCGAAGTTAAAATAATGCAAATGAAGAAACTATCGCTAGCATTGCAATAACGACCGTAACATGGAAGTGTCAAATATAGTCGGCACCTTTATTGAACGGAAGGAGGGCAAGAAAACGATTAATAAGCTACACGTTGTTCAACTCGGACGATCACTGAAAACAATCGATCGATTCCTGTGGGACAATACCCTTGTGTTACATAACCTTATATTATATTGGAGATATGGACCTAATCAAGCGCGATTCCGAGCATACAAAGAAAAAAATAACCAAGCTATCTAGTAACGATATAGGCCATTTGATAGGTGATAAAGTGAGACTTAACTGAAACGAATAGCAATAGAAAAAGCCCAGGAACTAAGCCCGAAAACAAGGAATCGATTACTTACTTGGTTTGCACACGCACTGAATTTGACTTGATAGAATAGATGAGTAACAGTGTAGAGAGGAACTATGGCCCAATGTCGAGTAGAAGTTGGCGAAGTAGAATCTACACTTGAACTGAACTAACCGGGTAAAACCTCGTCAATGTGTCTAATTAAAGAACTGAGTTAATATCACGTTACAAAACCAACAGTATAAGTATATCTATCATTTTGAAGATTTCTTTTTTTGAGAAAAACTGAATTTAAAGATGAGTTTTTACAGGTATATCTTTTTTCAGAAGTCAGGGTAATTCAAGTAAGATACAGTGAACAGTAGACCACGAACTGCAGTGTTGGTGCGTAATTGCCTCAAGCAAGGATTTGGTGGCCACTAAGCAACGAAGAGATAATAAAACATTTCAAAAATGATAAGTATTTTATTGTGCGGAAACTGTGTTCTACAGGAACCGGAAGAATCATCTTTCACTTTGAATTTTTCGGGGTTACACTTTACTCTCGTATAGATATTGTCTTAATCCATTTGAGACAAAAAGCGGGGGGGGTGGTAAAACATATATTATCTCTCTGGACTTCGAAACAGCCTCTCGCCGTCTATTTCCTTGCGGTAACTCGCAATGTTTACCCAATGGCGATCCTAGAAATCCTTTCTCAAATATGTGGATCGCTTTACTGACGACTTGTGCATTGCAAAAAGACCTACAAAGGCATTCATGTGGAAATGTATTGATCGCTTAATCGGTTGCCACAGTCATGATGTTCATGATGGTATATAAAAACGCAAAAATGTTTATGATAGTCCATAAAAACGTAATAAAAAAACAGCAACAACAAAGCCCAAGCTAATATCTAGCCATCTTGACCGAAAAAGCTTAGTAAAGAAGGATTAATTTTTGTTATCCAATATAAATATTTGGATTTAATATTATTCAAGAGTAACTGGTTTTATCTATTTCCGCTGGGAGAGAAAGCCAACTGTGAAGGCGCTTTCTCGTTTTGGCAAATTGAAATATAACATGTTTTGATAGATTAGCAACAATGATAATTCAACGTCAAAAGTCTCGCTCGATATGACTTAAGGCAGAAATTTACACCTACTTTTACGGAGACATTTCGAGAAGTAAATTTAACCTCTTCGGACGCGATAAATGCCGTTAAAAGACTTTTAAAAACGGCCAGAGTGGTCAAAATAGCTTGATTTTCAAAATCCAAGTTTAAAAGTAATTAAACATCCAGCTTTGAATCAAAACAGTACAATCTGATAGTTTGGTTTGTTTCTTTTGCCGTCGTCCACGATAAGCTTGTTTGCGTCTTACACTCAAAACTTCCTTTCAGAGTTTAAAACTCTTCCCCTGGATAGTATTTACGTTTGACGTAAGGCAGGCAAAGGGATAAAAAGGTTTCCGGCGTTTGTTATTTGCAAATTACCTGCATTCAAAAGTTTTTAGTCCAGAATTGCAGGAAAACAAATGAGATATGTTCAGAGAGTGTGTATCGCTCGTGTTTGCCGCAATAACGTAATGTACTAGAAGGGAACATTTATCAATATGTTGCATGACACTATTCGTGTAACTGACGTAAGGAAATCTGTCATTTTTGGGCCACTGACTTATCATGTAATGACTGCTGTAAAATATTTGCTATGCAGCCAAACGCTGGTCTCTCCCAGCATCTGGCTTCTTAGCTTGGATCTTAGTACCGAGTTTGAATTCCGTCGAGTTCTCTAATCGCAGTCCACGTGCAAGAATCATTTCTTAATTAGCCTTTTATTCGCTGGTCAGAATATCATTTATGATATTTAACATAAGGAAATATCTATTATAACCTTGTTTTGCCGCTCTGAACAGAGACTACATGAGACGACGCCTCAATCATAAACCATGACAGATTCCGTGCCAGTTTCCACGAACTCTGTGCAAGACCAACCAAAAGGATTGGATGGTCATAGCACGTATCAGCACGAGCTTTTTCCGCGAAATTAGTAAGTCTTAAATAACTGCGGAAGTCTAAAGTCACTTAGAACTTAAAATAAAGGATATTTGTTTGTTTTGTTTTTTTTTTTTATCATTTATGATATTTAACATAAGGAAATATCTATTATAACCTTGTTTTGCCGCTCTGAACAGAGACTACATGCGACGACGCCTCAATCATAAACCATGACAGATTCCGTGCCAGTTTCCACGAACTCTGTGCAAGACCAACCAAAAGGATTGGATGGTCATAGCACGTATTAGCACGAGCTTTTTCCGCGAAATTAGTAAGTCTTAAATAACTGCGGAAGTCTAAAGTTACGTATAACTTAAAATAAAGGATATTTGTTTGTTTTGTTTTGTTTTTTTCTTTTAACAAATATTTAAAAGACCGTCATTATGCACAAACTTTGATCATTTTTTGCAGGAGCACACAGGAGACAGAAAAGCAATCAAATTGGAGAGGCAAGTGCACTTAACAATACTTAGAGGTTGAGGTTTAATTAGCCTATTTGCTAACTGAGTGGCAATCGCCGAGGAATAGGTATGTAACATCTGATGCATGTAAACTTAGGTAAAAAGGGGAGCTTAGAACTAATGCTTACTTTTTCAAACGTAAACATTTTCGTAGTACATAGAGTGACCTCCTTTTACAAAGGTTTAGTTTCAAGTTGGCTCCCCTGGAAATGGCTTGCCAATGTCGAGTCAATGGCATGGTCGACGGCTACGTTTAGTTTTTGACAGTGTCTCCCTAACAAGTCAGAATTATGCCTGAGCTTTTGGCTGATTCATCGCCGTTCGTGGCAAAATTCGTCTTTCTGAAAATAAGTACAAACAGGGCTTCTAGCACAAAGGGCATTTATATGAGTAGGGGATAAATCATATAACCCACTGAGAATCTAAAGATATTCTGTGCACGGTGTTCATTCAAAATTGCAAAGAGTAGAGATAAAAATCTGTAGCAACGTCACACGGCAGCATCCAGAAAAATGTCCTTACCGAAAATGGGAATAAACTAGCGCCAGTATGGCTGGTAACAATTCAATGTAATTGGTCGACAATCAACATAATTCGATTCCCTCGGACTGACTTCAAGGATGAACTGCCCCTAGCAAAAGTAGCTGCTCAAGAGGAATCTACCAAATTATTGTATTTTTATCTTAGTTTCCTCGTAGTTTAAGTTTTTCAGTCTACTGAGTATTTCATTCCGTAACTGGACATCATAACATACCGTAGCTTATATTACGAAAGGCTTAAAACAGCATATCATAGATAGACTTTACACCGTATCATAACCTCTTTCCTTCAGGATCTGCTATGCTGTTCTTGGTACTTTCCGTGAGTATTCAAATCATAACACCAATGCTTGCAGTCCCAATACTAGAGGATCTCGCGCAAGTTCGATTTGAGGTTAACAATCTCACGGAAAACAGAAAGTTCATGAGATGAGAGTAAGATTCTCCTTCACTTGAGTTATATCTTCATTAGCCTTCACTCATTTATTTATTTCTTTTTTCCTTCCAGCAGCTGAAAAACTGTGCTGAGCTGTACAAATCCGGTCGAAGGATCAGCGGTGTTTACACAATCGACTCAGATGGTTTAGGCGCCTTTAATGTATATTGTGACCATACAACAGCGAGTGGGGGATGGACAGTGATCCAGAAGAGAATGGATGGCTTTGTTGATTTTAATCGCACCTGGAATTACTACAAACATGGTTTCAGTAACTTAGTCGGTGAATTTTGGCTCGGACTGGACAAGATAAACCATCTGACGCAAGACAAGACAAAGAACATGCTTCGAGTAGATCTGGGAGTAATCACTGGCAAAACTGTTAACGCCGAGTATAGCTGGTTCGGGATTGGGACCAAGTACCGGGACTAAGTATCGGCTGTTCATTGGCATTATCACAAGTAACTAAACCGTTTTTCTTTTTAAGCATTCATTGTTCGATTTTTATATGTTACTTTCCTATCGACTTCTACTGCCCCATTCCCACTAAAGCTTGAAGCTGTTTTGTTAAACAAGATTTAAAATTGGTTTCTTCATAGACGCTGCTTAAACTGATGTTTGTCGACTTTAAATTTAGCAAATTAAAAACACAAGTAAGTGGCAACTTGAATCCTATGGAAAATTTAAATATTCAGTTGTCTGTTACTGGCATTTAATTCAATCCCCTCCCCCAACTCCACAGAACCTGCAAACAATGGTTAGTTCTAGTGTACACGCGCTTGACTGTGTTGTGCTGTTCATTCTGTCCATGCCTAGTTGAATCCACGCTCCTCCGTGGACAGTTTGCTTTCGAAGCTGCTTGAGATAGAACAGTCATTGAGTTCGAATTTAGCAAAAAGGTCGTAAAATTTGAATATTTATTATTTTGTCCGATATTTTTGTATTTCGATATCTCTCCTACTTCGTCGGATAGTACTTATCGAGTTTGAGGCGTCAAAGGTGTTATCTTGATCTTAATGTCATGGAAATTATTTTTCTTTTTGTTTTGAGCAGATGCGACTGTTTCCTCTGATTATCTCAATCCTCAAGAAGATCTCAAATTTGGTACCTGGGATAGAGATCCTGCTAATTGTGCTCAAAAAAAAGGCGGAGGCTGGTGGTTAGCAAAATCATAAAATTTGAGTATTTATTATTTTGCCACAAATTTTTGTATTTGGATATCTGCCCTACTTCGTCGATTGGCGTAGCTATCAAGTTTGAGGTGTTATATTAATCCTAATATTATGGAATTTTGATATTTATTATTATTATTTTTTAAGCAGATGCAACTGTTTCCTTTGATTCCCTCAATCCTCACAAAGATCTCATTTTTGGTGCTTGGGATAGAGATCCAGCTTATTGTGCTCAAAAAAGAGGCGGAGACTGGTGGTACGGCAGCAGTAGTGCTTGTGCTGTTTGGTCGAATCTCAACGGAATGTATCCACATTATTGAAACGAAACCTGGGCTAATGTCCATTAAGGAAAATTAGAAATGAAATGAAAATTAGACCAGTGGAATTTTTTTAAACTTTCTAACTGTAAAGTGTGCAAGTAAACAGTGATTTCTGCGTCTTCTGATCTGTTGACTTCGTGTTTATCGCAACTGTGATTTTCAGATTAATGATCGAGTGGCCTTACTTAAATTATTCTAATGAATTCCACCGAGGAACACCATGGTTAACTGTTTCCCTCGCGACCAGGCATCAAGTTCAATAATTTGCATGCATGGTGATGTTGGTCTTTTCTTACGAACTATTCATTGTTGATTTGAAAACGCTATAATTTAAAACATTTCGCTTGTTGTCGAAATTAAACCAAAATATATGTGAATTCGGTTTTTTAATATCTGACAAAGAAATTGATGCGCGTGGTTTAACGTCTACATGAATAAAATGTCCACCCGGACCAATCGATGCTGTTTTGAAACATTAAGAAGTAATTTTAAGATAAGAAAATAACCGTGTATTTTTTTCGACGCCTTTTCAATCTAGAGTTTAAAATGTTTAGAATAGGTAGATTAGAAAAAATAACGAAATCAGAAACTCAACCATGGATGAACAAATGCGATTTTTTCCAAATATTTCCATCACATCAAAGTGAATTCAGATGGATTTATACTTATGGAACGTCATATGTTACTAGTCGGAGTTTATGAATGTTTTTACTTATTTCTACAGTTTTACGAGTTTTGCCAGGAGAAGAAATAGACTGTTATACACTACTCATGCATTTACGTCAATAGCTATGCGATAGTGTTGCCATGGCAACCTTATAGGTCGCGCACTGTTTTTTAATTTTTTAATTTTTTTTATTTTCTTATTTTCCAGTGAAGCTTCTTACGCTCGATTGACAAGCATTTTAGACTGTAAAGGTATCGAGGTCCACGTTCAAGCCTGATGTAAGTTGGGAACATAATTTATCACAAATTGGTAAACTTCACAAGTACGTTATTTTGCGTATCGTGTTAAAACAAAAAACAAAACAAAACAAAGCGTTACATGATCGGACTTTTCAAAAAAGATAGCGACTGATCTTAAGCTACTTAGCCACCAGTCCGTGAAGAAAAAGTCCGAGACTCCGAGGTAATGTTTTTTATTCGTTTCGCTCTCAATTTAAAACCTCTAAAATACAAAGCCAATAGTTTTGTTCAAAAAGTGCGCAGACTCACCTTGTCTTCGCTTTTTATTGACTAACCTCTTTCGCGTTGAGAAAAATTGGGACAGTTTATGTAATCTTCGATAAATATTAATTGTCGTGTTTATTGGATTTAATCTTTCGGTCGGATCGCCTTTGCGGGTTGAATTGCTGCCAGTATGAAGTCGTTGAGTTTCCGATCCATTACGTAAACGGGTTGCTGTCACCTTCAAGTCGCTTCAAGATAGAATTTCTTCTTACAGCATCAACAAATTTCAATGAGGGAATTTTCTGCTGCAGTTGATCCAATACAAAATTCCCCAAAGTAACACCAAATAATGGCATTGCAGCCAGTAGGGAGGATTTCCTATGAGATTTTGAGTGGAAAAGGCCGGTAAAGGGGTTATCACGGTTGTCACTGCACTAAAGAATCTGTTGAGCATTAGAAAGTGGATCGTGAGCGACTCCAATCTTCTGTCAGTAGGATTTCGATTCCTTAACGCGTAAATAGTATCAAGATTAGCTTAGACATGAGCGGCATGCAGGGAATAGAGTAGGATAAAGTTAAGTGAGAGAGGTTCAATGAATCTGAAACTATAAAAAAAATTAAGATTTAGATGACTAATAATAAGATTTGCGAACAATAAGATTTGACCTTTTGCCATCAGTCTATCTCGGTAGCCTCGGAGGCAAGTTCTCGGCGAAAATGCTTGCTAATGGTAAAATGCACGTGTGTTAGTTATAAGACTCATAGATGACCGAAAAGATTATCTGCGGTTTTTCAAGACGATTTTGTTGTTTTTTTATGTTCTTCAGTGATTGACGCCAGTATTAATGAAAAAAATAACTCCGTGTCGAACTTATGACCTCCCGAAAAATACTTCGGATGCTGAACCACTGAGCTATACGAGACTCATAGCAGGCGAGCCGTTTAACTTGGTCCATGGCGACAAACTTCCTCTATACTGCTAGGATAGGGATGTTGACATGTGATGTTATTGCACAATAGTGATGTAAATGACACTTGGTCGTTGCGAGTTTCCTGTTTTTTCTATCACGACTCAAATAGGGTACGACAAATGAAGAAGGCATGACGTTTCAGTTAAAAAACATCTATCGGCCAATGAGAGCGCGATTACTATGTTAAATTTTTTCACCATGAGTCATTTAGGCGGGTATGCTGACGCTTTTGTCCGTTAGCATCCGAGTTTCCGTTTGTCAATCTAATTTCTGATCTTCCGCAATATCCGCCCAGTGAGGTGTAGCAGGAAATATATTATTGTGGAATGCCTCTCAATGCCACCCAAAGGAAGAAAGAAAAAACGAAAACAAAAAAAAAAAAAAAAAAATCAAAGAACCTCAAGTTTTCAAAATAACTTGTCTGCATTTTCTTAGTTTTACACGAGGAACTATAGCTGTTATCGTTAAAGCCTTTTGAGAGAAAAATAATTCATCGGGTATCCTATATTTATTTTGTTCCGATATTCCAAGAATCGATACCAGTGTTACTGCGGTTTTTCCGCGGGCTAAGATAGCGTGCTGACTAAGCAGAGATAAATGAACGTTTGAAAAACGTCATGGTGCGAAAGCTGTGCTTGACAAGAACCCGCAAGTATCATTTCTCGCGGTATGCATGCCCGTGGGGGAGGGGGGAGGTAAGTTCTTCTCAGTCGCATTTTCACGACTGGATTGGCTATAGTGGGGTTGCATTTTTCAGTGAAGTTACTAGAATGCGTCGCACATTCTTCGAGATTTTGGGGGTGAGAAAGTCTCGTAAGTAGGGATTTAAAATGGAGAGATTATGTTGTTTAACAATCGGTTTGCATCAGAGGTATGCCCCTCACTCTTTCAAGAGGTAATAGAAACAGATATCGAGAGAATGACGCGCTATGGAAACAACATTCCACAGATGGATAAACAAAGAAATTGATACTTTCTAATGTGTCTAACATTCTTTGGTGTAAAATATTTATCTAAACTTTTGTTTGTCGTTGACAAGAGCTTAATTGGGTTTGTTTTCGTGTTGTAACAGTCTTTGAAAGCACGCACGCACGCTAGAAACAGTTAAGGATTCGAAGACCAGTGGATGGTTATGACTGTTAGGCTTGCAAGAGAAAGCTGAAAGAGTTTAATAGACTAGAAATGTTTTGAATAGAACAAAGCTTAGATTGGGGTAAAAAAAAAAAAAAAAGAAAAAAAAAGACTCAAATCCGGTCGGATTAAAGTGTTCCGTTTACTAACGCAATAGCATTTCGTCATCAAGGCGCGACTATGATGGTTAAAAGCGAAAAGGTCGACTTTTATAAGAGTCACATTTCAAACATTTAAGTAGTCAACATTCCTTGGTCACAGACACGTTGTACGAGCAAGAGAACTCTGGTTGATTTCGATACGCGGTGGAGCTAAAACGTTAACCAAAATGTCTCATAACATGCAAGCTTTTGACAATACAAGCTCTATGACCGTAAGTGAAGTTTACGATTTGACGAAGCAGAAATACTACTCTAAGAAAAGGTGTCAATGTGCGTGCGGCTTTCTGAATCGAAAAGTTTCTTTCCGAGTCTGGAAAATTTTGCTGTTCCTGTTACTCCTACTGATGGTTATTTTATTGGAGGGTTTATTGATAGCGTTTTACGGTCCTAGTCTGGATCGAGAGATCCTGTTTTGAAAAACTCTGGAAGAGCTGGAACAGGTAACTATATTTTGTTAGCTTCTTGCATTGTTTGCCTCAGAACAATGCAGATAAGGCATTACCTTGTCTGTATCTCGAATACTCATGGGTGAAGACTTGAAGGACTTGTGGACTTGAAGACAAGTGATTTTAGACAGACAAAAATTGAAGTATCTGGCTTTAAGTTCGAGTTAAAAAATAATTACCCTCATATAGTAAAAGATATATGTGTAAATCAGTTAATAAACTTAATTTTTTTAATCCTTGAATCGATTTAATTTCCAACACATCAAAAAGATTTGGAATACGTTTGTCGTTTTAGGTCTTGTGTGATCTGACCAAGACGAAAGAATTGATGGTCATTGACATTGAATGGAGATGTATCTGGGTATACTCAACAAATTACTTCATGAACAGCAGCTATCATATCTATACCATATCTTGACTTCTGCTGTGAAAAGCACCACTGGACACAAACTTGCATGTGAATTTCTAGTAGATATATCAATACATCAATTTGTTGAAGAATCCTTATATTCATTAGCTAAGGTTTTTTTGTTTGTTTTTTTTGTTGTTGTTGTTGTTGCTGTTTTTTTAAGGTTAACTAGCCAAAAAGAAAAGTATACTCGACAGATTTTCCAAAAGTCTTTGCATAATCATCTGCTGTATGGTGTACCTTTTTTTATGCAATATGCAGCAGGAAACAAACACACCTTGTAAATTTTTGTATTGTATTATTTTGCCTTCTATTACACATCCTTGTAAGTTTCTAGCAAATCAGTTCTTGCTCTTAGATCAATTTACAGTAAATTATCAGCAAATATTTACATTTGCATCCCGTGCGAAAACGTATTCAAACATAGAATTAAAAAATTAGTATCGCACTATATTTGCCTGGGTTTGCAAAGAGGATAATGCTTGTGCAAATTCATGTCTTTACTAAACATTTGCAGTATCTGCAAAGGTGAAGGAAACAAAGAGCGCAATGTCACATTTATATCACATGTACACAGAAAAAGCGACAAAAACATGCAAATCTGCACGTTTACACAAATTTATATCCCTAAATTTTCAACACGTTTGCTTACTTTGCAACCCGAGTGAATCCAGTTTTTCGCATGGCGTATTTCATGTTTTTTCCTAAAATA